GGAGGTGAACCTAGTGAGACAAACCCAACAACTCAACTAAGTTCAAAAAAAAAACTCAACTAGTCAACCAATTGCCCCTCTTCCTTTAATCTATAAATTACGTGTGTCTTCCTGCATTCCATGTTCACTTTCTCTTGATGCCGCGCACAACATGAAATTTCGCCCCTCAAACCAGATGTTCTTCAAATTAAGCATTTTTAAAATTTAATACGGATATGTACATACACTACAACCACTTAATTTTTTGGTTTGAAATCATGGCTATATTCATCTTGGAGAAAAAGATTGTGCATCCCATACATCAACTCTATTGAATGTTGAAGATTGCACCGATTTTCTATTTTGTACTGTATATGCTTATATTTCCGCAACAGATTTTACAAGGTCATTTTATGGGTGACATAGAGACCATATCCAGATAAGATATGATTTTATCCTCTCGTCATTTATTTGCTTAAACAGAAATCTTGTCATAAGGCACATAGACAAGCTAAGAAATGACGTCGCAATGGACACAGAAAAGAGGCGTTGGATGATACTGCCTCTACCTAAATATATAGGGTCTAAAACATTTTTTTAGGTTGGGTTTAGCCATCGGTTAGACCAACACCGTATGATGTTTATGTTACGGTCAAATTTGTTCCCAATGATATAATTTTGTTTATGTTATACATCTCATATACTACCTATGTACCAAAATATTATTTAATCTCATTTACTAGCCTGAAAAACATCTTACATTTTGATATGTACTCCCTCCGTTCCTAAATATTTGTCCTTTTAGAGATTTTAAATGTACTACCACATATGGATGTATATAGACATATTTTAGAGTGTAGATTCACTCATTTTGCTCCGTATGTAGTCACTTGTTGAAATCTCTATAAAGACAAATATTTAGGAACGGAGGAGTATGTACTATTATTTAATCTTATCAATGATCAAAGACATCCTTAAAAAACATGATGTGATTTTATTTTTTTGAACAAAAACGTACTTCTGCTGTATTAGGTCTTATATATAGCTTGATGGAGGGGAGTGGTGTGTGTGTGTGCAAGCGGGCACAGCGAGTTCGGATGAGAAGGTGATTCATCTTTTTTTTCTTCGATGACTGTTGTGGTAGTGCCGGAGGCAGGTGTCAAGCTCAGAGATATTCTGCTATCTTTTCAGTTTTATGATGTCAGTCTTTACGTGACTTGTACTTTTGATCTTTATGATATGAACGAGACACGTATTGCCATGAAAAAAAAGTGGGCGCGACCTTATTTATTTTTTATGATCCTTTTCTGTTGATTTGATTTGATCCTTAATCTCTCGTGGTGTATTGCGACGGATTTTCCTATATAAAGGCGACCCCGACGATGGTATTTCCTCGTGCCAACCCAAGCCCCGAGCCCCCGAGCCCTTCATCTTGGCAGTCTGGTACCCGGGGTACCACTGCATATTCTCTTCCCGGTCTTGACGAGGGGGCAAGAAACAGGCGACCGACCGGCCAAAACAAGGTCGCTCGGCGCTGCTTCCGAATCTGACCCCGTCGGCTCCTCCTTCCTCATCCAGTGATCCCCCCTCAGATTCTCCTCCAATCCCTTCCCCTCCCAGTTGGTTCCCGGTTGATCTGGCTCCCCGCAGATCGGTGCCACTGTGAGTGTGATTTTAATTCTGTTACGGTGTCTGGCCTGCAGGGATCAGTGGGGAGGAAGAAGGGGGACGCCTCGCCATGAAGGCGCTCATCCTCGTCGGGGGCTTCGGGACCCGCCTCCGGCCTCTCACGCTCAGCTTCCCCAAGCCCCTCGTCGATTTCGCCAACAAGCCCATGATCCTGCACCAGGTAGGCAAACGGCTGCGCTTGATAGAGATTGTGTATGGTGCTGTGAGTCAGTGAGTAGTGTGCGAGTTAATCCTACTGCTGTTGCGCATCATTCGCCTTACCGCAACAACAATAGCTAAACTTCAAACCCTTAGTAGTCATGTAGATGATGCTTTAACTTTTATAACCAATTGCCACTAGTAGCATTTCAATGTGTTCGCACTGATGGGAGCTAAGAAATCTTTCGCCCTGCAAACGTTAATCAATTCCCTTGCTAGCTTCGGTGGTTGCAAGATTGCTGCGTGTGCGTGCTTGGGAAAAACCTTTGTGTGTCACCATCAGGATTTCCCCTTCTTTTGTTGTCACAAATGCAGAACGATTTGTGGAGATTCGAGGAAAGAAAAGTTTATTGATTAAAACCTACCAATTTGTGCAGATTGAGGCCTTGAAAGATGTTGGGGTTACAGAGGTCATTTTAGCCATCAACTACCGCCCAGAGGTAAAACATGAGATAATTTATCTCTGTTGTTCTCTCATGGAGTTGTCTGTATTTAACATCGGAGTCCAACTGTCGTGCTTTGTCTGTTTCAGGTCATGATTAATTTCTTGAAGGATTTTGAGGATAAGCTTGGCATCACAATCACATGCTCCCAAGAGACTGAACCCTTGGGAACTGCTGGCCCTCTTGCCCTAGCAAGGGACAAGCTTGTGGATGGATCTGGCGAGCCATTCTTTGTCCTCAACAGTGATGTCATAAGTGAATACCCATTTGCCGAGCTCATACAGTTTCACAAGAGCCATGGCGGTGAGGCAACAATTATGGTCACTAAGGTAACTCATTTCTTTGACCACTCTCTTGTGTGTGTAAGCTCTGATGTATGTAAACTGACTGCCTCTTAAATATAGGTGGATGAACCTTCGAAATATGGTGTTGTGGTTATGGAGGACACAACTGGAGTTGTGGAAAGATTTGTAGAGAAGCCAAAGATATTTGTAGGCAACAAGATCAATGCAGGAATTTACTTGTTAAATCCGTCTGTGCTGGACCGCATCGAGTTAAAGCCAACTTCAATCGAGAAGGAGGTCTTCCCTCGAATTGCAGCTGATCAGAAGCTCTACGCCATGGTCCTTCCAGGCTTTTGGATGGATATTGGCCAGCCAAGGGACTACATCACTGGCTTGCGTCTCTACCTAGATTCACTTAGGAAGAAATCAGCTGCCAAGCTGGCCGCTGGAGCACATGTTGTTGGGAACGTCCTGGTGCACGAGAGCGCCAAGATTGGGGAGGGTTGCCTGATTGGTCCTGATGTTGCTATTGGACCTGGATGCGTCGTGGAGGATGGTGTGAGGCTCTCCCGATGCACGGTGATGCGCGGTGTGCGCATTAAGAAGCATGCGTGCATCTCAAACAGCATTATCGGCTGGCATTCGACGGTTGGACAATGGGCACGCATAGAGAATATGACTATCCTGGGAGAAGACGTACATGTAGGTGACGAGGTCTACAGCAACGGCGGTGTTGTTCTCCCACACAAGGAGATCAAGTCAAGCATCCTGAAGCCTGAGATCGTCATGTGAGCTCACCGCTCACAAATGCTTTTAGGAACGATGTTGTGTGGCGTCTTTGTTCTAGTGCATACTGTAAACAGCTTAATATATGTGGAACTTGCGAGACTTGTTAAACTGATGAGAGTGTATGTGCATTAGTCATTCCCAGTGTTGTTTCCCATTAAGATCGACTTCCAGCTTTAGTATAGCGTTGTGGGGATGTCAGCCTGTTTACTTTATTTTCTCTGTTCGCAGAATGTGTAATGTCACAGAAAGGATAAATAAGAACAATGCCTTTGAAGGTGAATTTTAACTTTGCCGAGTATGAAGCTCCTGATTCTGATACGTAATTTGCTATGCGCTATCAGCCTTGCAGCAAGAGGGTATGAACAGCACATTCTGAAACACGCTTGCTGAAAATTTTGTGTAGGCTGCAAACGTGGCCGATGGGGTATTGCTCAACTCTGCCGCTGACAAATCAGTTACTACAACGGGTACAGCAGTTGGTGTGTTATCATGAGATCTGGGCGAGTGTCGACCGCTAGTTTGCTCATCCTGCTGTGCTGGGATTCTTTTGCACTTTTGTGACTTCAGCTGTCAATTTTCTTATGACCAACGACTGTGGGCTGTAGACCCGAATGTTCTTGTGCAGGCATCTCAATCAACAAATCGAAGTGGCTTACTTCTGCAATAGCAGACACAGATGAGAAGATGGGAACCGTTCTAGGCCATGCTACTTGTCCCTCTGTGTACCTCTTGTAACTCGACAGCTTCTGTGGACGGGACTGGTTAGATTGTTTTCCTTGTAGAATTGTAGATCACTGAATTGGTTAGGCTTGGCCACGAGGGTGTGAATGTGGAATGCGGCTGTGTAAACTTGTACCTGTTACTTTCTTTCTTTTCTGCAAAATGACAAAGTTGCATCTTGCGCTGTAATTTCCAGGGGGCCTGAGGTCGTGCAACTGGTGAGAGCTGGAATTATATCACTTTCGGAGTTTCTGTTGCAAGTCATTGTCCGCGGATTCTTCAGATAAAGAGCTGTTCGATATCTGTATGCTTTTCACATTGAATTACCCAGAGACTTTTGCAATGCCTGACACTAGGTTAGATAGTTTTGCCTCTCGCAATCCTTGTGCTCAGCCATTGTTAAGCCACCATTTCTGTTTGGAGTAAATTACGTGGTAGAACATCAAAATATGCAACTTTTTATGATATTTTCCAGCGTCAATTTTTCTGATTTTTGACCAGGGCCCAGTGTGCCATATTAACTGGGCAAAATGACTTGATCAACAGCAAGACTCCACACTAGGAACCAAGTTATCGTTGGCCCGAAACACCGAAACACCAAAGCATGACTCTGAAATTTAAGACTTCATGGAACTTGCCACCATTGCCCATCTATTCTCTGGAATTAGCAGTCAATTTCTATGTAGTCTGCTTGAAACATCAGTCGGTATATAACCAGACAGGACCAAACAACGCTAGGTACAGACAGAGCTCCTACAAATCTAGTCAAGATGAAGCGAGGAGCCAAAACATCACAAGGGCAGATGTGGCACTAAGCGCCCAGGAAAGGAATGCAAACGCGGTCGCGAGCTCAAATGTCCCACACGGGAGATGCGGGTCCCTGCTGCAGAAGTACGCATCCTTGTCGAAGAGAACAACGACGCCTCCTGCAGAGCATGAAGCGGCGAATGACAGGATCGACGTTACCTGCATCATAGAGAATGATTGCCTCAGTACTTCCAAAGGAATATCTGGTTGAAACATCAGAGGCATAACATGTTTTCATAGACATATGTCCGGAATGTAAATTAATGTGAACTGCAGAATGTGACTAGATGGGCCTAGGTCCTAGTGAAACTCATGCAACTGAACTGCAGTCCATAAAAAAACTTTCAAGCACTTGTAATTGTTTTTCAGGTCTGCATCAAATTGGTTCTAATTAACTGGACGTGGCCTTAAAGTATACTATATTAACTGAAACTAATAAAACAAGATTCAACTTCACCAGCATATAGTGCTGGCTATGACAGAGATGCATTGTAGCCGAAAGTATACCAGTCTACAATACTCAACATAAGTTGGCTAGATTGCTGT